TTTTTCATATTAAATCCTATCAGGTAGTCGCGGAATTTATTTTCTTGGTCTCGTTTATATCAAGAGATGGCGCCACTTGTAATATACCCATCATGAAATTGAAAATATTTTCCTGGAACGCAGTAGAGGACGCGACTGTGCTTGTTCAGATGTCATGGTTATTCACCGAATTTTCATCGGTATTCCGGTGTTGTCAAATTAACCTTCGTCTTCCCACGTCAAAAAAAAATTACGTAGATTCCCACGTGGGGTACATTCGCACCCCATGATAAAAATGATACTTCTGATAATTAAACATGATTTTATTTATACTCAACAGTTATAATAGATAAAATCAACCTATAAAGTACAGGTAGGGAGAAAAAAAATAGTTAGGAAATTGTTTTTTCGACCAATGCGTGCATTCGATTTATAAATCATTTTTCCGCCTTCTACTTCCCGTAAACTTTCGTTCCCTTCCTGCTGCACAGATACTTCTTGATTAGCTTTATTATCGTGATTTACTAAATTTTGCAGGTTGGAAATCTATTTCCAACCTGCAAATTTCCTGCAAGGTGACTACTTGATAGAGTAGCCACAGATTCCCACGTGGGGTACGTCATTGGGTAAATGTGCCCCACGCTATGCAAAAATTATTATTTCTAAAAAATAAATAAATAGAAAATTTTTGATGATCACTAATTATGTGCAAAGCCCTCACTGACACAAAATAAAATTAGTCACAAAAAATATGCACTTTTTAGGAAAATAGTGGTGCCGCGAGACGAGACTAGAGGAGACTTAGGGTTGGTCTCGTCTCGTCTCGACATCTCGAGACGTGACCGTGACTTAGTCTCGGTCTCGAGTACCAAAGTCTCGTCTCGTCTCGAGTGGTCTCGTCTGGTCTCGAGTTATACAGGGTGTCCAAAAAATAGCGTAAAAACTCTTCTCTACGTGTTGGAGGACCCTACAAGGAACCCCAGAAAAATATTTTAAAAAATCTAGTGGCATTCTTAAGAAAGTTATTTGCATTTTAATATTTATTTAAATTGGCAACACTGAAAATATCCCGTTGACCATATGTCAGAGAATTAAATTAAATTTATTTATTTATTTATTTATTTACAAAAAACTGCCCTACAGGTAGCACCCAATATAGCAGAAATTATCTTACATAAATGTGTAAATATCTACAGTAGGTAATAACATAAATCATAAAAACATACAAATCTATGTAAGTTAAACAAATTAGACAAATTAGACAAGAAAAAAAAAAAAAAAATACCCATGTAACTACCTGAAGAATTCGAAGGTGAATTTTCACATCTACCTCTTCATATTACCAAGAATAATGCTGGAGAAGGATTTTTTTATTTAATTATTTTTCTAGGGTTTCTCAAAGGGTCCCCTACTACGTGGAGAGTTTTTACGCTTTTTTTCGGACACTCTGTATTCATGGTTTTTATTTTTATATTATAACGGAAGTCCAAACTGCCACAGTGAAAAAGCAATTAGTGAAAAATCACAGTAAAGAGTAACCGTGATATTTAATTTACTGATTTCATATTCAAATAGCCCAGAATAGTGCAATAATAAAGCTATGAAAAAAAAAATTTAAGTGTAATCTCGAGACTCGAGACTACACGAGACTCTCGCCGAGTTTGGTCTCGTCTTGTCGAGACTTCACGAGACGAGACCAAAAGCTAGTCTCGTCTCGAAAAGTCGAGACGAGACGAGACGAGACCAGTCTCGAGTCTCGCGGCATCACTATAGGAAAATATGCTAGAAAAATTGTTTTCTGGGGTACATTTGTACCCCACCCGGGAAGACGAAGGTTAATATAGACATTTATTTGTATGTAGGTTGCAAATTAAGTATCCAGCATTTTTTATTTTCCAAAAAATTATTTATATTTAAAATTTCAGCGAACAAAAGTCTTTTCCACCAATGAAATTCGCTCTGACTTGTGATTTTTGTGAGAACAGACCTATTATATTTGCAAGTTGAACTCAAAAAAGTCAAACGCGCGCGAACACGGTTATTTCGTTGTGACTTCGTTACACAGTAAATTGTGACGTTGTCAAATATTCGAATGACACAATTTTGCGCAGTCATGTAAATTGTACAAAAGTTAAATATTTGTAATAAAGCGTTATCTAACATCACTTTTTATTTACTGCTGTTTGCTGTTTGATGCTTATTTATTATTAGGTATTATTATTTATTTATCGTTTATCATATTGAACATAATAAATACTAATTTCGTTATTTATTTCAAATGCTAAGTCATTTACACAAAATGTGCTTTTCTTTTTTCCAAATAAATTTGGCTTTTGAATTTATTGGATACTGTTTCACCAAAGAAAAAAAACTTATCGACTGTCAGAATCTAATGTTGCTGGAAATTCCGCACTGTCAGCCAGTGTAGCATTGAATTTCATAAGTGTCTTCTTATTGACGATCCAACTACAACAATTCCTTTAAAATTAGTCAAGCTCATTACTTCAAAAAAATTAACTCTTTCGGTAAAAGTTTATTTATGATAAATTTAAATTCGTTTTTGTTTCCAGTTTATATAGTTATCGGGTCAATTCTGTGCACATCTGTAAGCAAATGTATAAGCCTGCCGCAGACAATTTGCAATTTTGCTTTTCCTGTAGCTTACAGAAAATCTTATAGAATCGTTAATATTTCTGATCGAGTGTTTGGCAATCGATGCGTTTTGCAGTAGATTGTAGATGTAGATTGTGGGGAAGTCGTTTCGGCTTTTCAGCCGCGCAGCACTGCTACCTTTGCAGATATTCTGTACGTGACTCTACGTCTTGAGTTGTTTCCAGGAGGCGTAGACTTCTGCCGAAGGAAGCTATTTTCCTGGATGTCAGATGGCCCACTTCTTCTGGTGACAGTGTTGCCCCCTCGAGGAATTTGAGCCTCTTGTAAAATTGGACTGGACATTCGCAGAGTAGGTGCTCTGCGGTCTCTATTGCGTCTGAGCAGAATCTGCAGAGATCGTCTTCTGCTCTGCCCATTCACCTTAAATGGTATTTTACCAGGCAGTGTCCTGTGAGCAGTCCTACCACCAATCTGAATAATCTGATGTCTGGTCTGTTCATGTTTAGGAGCTATTCAGCTCTTTTTGCTGAAAGGGTAATAAGCCTTTTTGACTGTCTGAGTCCCGGAGTATGTCTCCAATATGATGACAGTTGGTCTTTTTCCCATTTGTCGAGTTCTTCCATGATGTGGCTTTTCATTTAGCCACAGTAGGGCTCTGGTTCATGATATGATGTTGAGGCGCCTTCTTTTGCGAGGCCATCTGCTTCTTCGTTTCCTTCTATGCCTCGATGACCAGGCAGCCACATCAGCGTTACTTGGTTGTGTGTCGCTAGTGTTTTTAGGGTCTGTTTACACTCTTAGACTACTTTTGAAGTGCATTTGAAAGCCCTTAAGGCTTTTAAGGCAGCTTGGCTGTCCGATAGTATGAAGATGTGTTTTTTTTTGTTGAGGATTTTGTCAAGAAACTCTTGTGCACATATATCTCTGGCAAGCAGTTCGGCTTGAAATATTGTGAGATGTTTACCCAATGCCTTGGAGAGCTTGAAGTTAGGGCCGGAAATGCCCAGTCCAGCTCCTTCCATTAGCTTGGATCTATCTGTGTACCACAGAGATGCATTGTCTGCTTGTGGCAATTCTTTATTCTACCATGATTGGCGGTCGTTTATTACCACTGCGAATGGGATCTCTAAGTCCAATCTGACCATTATCTGGTCACTTGGTTTGCTGGCATTATCCAGTTTTATTAAATCAAGGATGCGCAGATGTCCCCTCAGATAACCAGGCTTGAACTTGTCTGTTTGGAATAACCTGTGAGCGCTGGTTATTGCCTCCTTTTTTACGTTTTGCAGTGTCCATAGGCTTATAGAAAGTTATAGATTTGCTTGCAGATGTACACAGAATTGACATATATATATGTGAAATAGTACAACTTTATCTAAGAGTAAAATGACAATTTGACAACGCTGGTAACATATTTAACTGATTTGTGACGTAAACCAATAAAAATCGTTTCTGAAAATTCAAAATGTTGATGATTTTCAATTCTAAATTTCTCAAAAAATAATCATTCATAAAGTTTCATATTTGGCAAGGACTTTTAAATACTCTTTCTCACGGAAATATGATAAAAATTCTTGAATGAAAACTTTGTGCAAATACTCTACTATTCTCTCATATTTCTGTATTGTTTGATGTTTATAAATTGTATAATTGCTGCTAACACAGATTATAAATTAAAATTGAAGTTCACCATACTTTAGCGCTATTGACAATAGTGTAAAGAATCAATAAAAGTTTTTTTATCCATTGACCAAATAGTGCGACATCTCTCGACATTCATCCGAACGGCTTTTACTGAGACTGCTATCATTTATCATCACCACACGTAAATTACTCAGAAACCCTAATAGCCATTCAGTTCATTATACAATCGTTAATCGTTTGAAGAAATTCTTGTGTGTATATGAAGAGCAGCTTTAAAAATGTATTAGAACGAAAAATAAATATGTAAAATCAATAATTAAAACAATAAAATTTTAGCTCTCTCATTTTCAACTGAACTTGTCGCACCCTGAGGCTAGCAATTTTTGAAAATAATTTGGTTGATTTTTCCTAGTTTTTTCAGAGAAAAAAAGTTCAGGAACCACCCCCCAATTGCTTTTTTCTGTATTTCTTGCAATGTTCACATTTTTATTGTAAAAAATATCAAAAAATGCTATCCGTAGAAATGTAATTCCTGTTTTTGCATTAGATTTATTTAAATATAAACCATGTTACTTTGGCCTGTAGTAAGAGAATAGGTTCACGCATAATTTACCTACTCTCATGTCACCTCATTGATTCTACATTTTACTTAGCGCGTCAGCTTATCCGGCATTCATTATTGAATGCGGCATGATAACAGGCCTATTAGAAGCAATAATAAAATAAAGTCCGGAGTAATTTTATTTCTCGTCTGAAACTCTTACCTTTAATAGGTCAGTCTTGACTATAGATTGAGGGGTGTGTAGCTCAAGCTCTTTGGATCCACAGCCGTTTATGGTGCGCTTATCATTTACATCACAAGTTTCGTCGGGTTTTAAATGTGGTTCACTTTCTACCATTCTATGTAGAGACGGATGTTGTTTTATTTTGGGCAGTTGCGAACAATAAATTTCTTCGTTGGCAGGGGGTGTTGGGGGCGGCACTTAATGGGGGTTGCGGTCGGTTGTTCTGAAAAAAGCTCTAGAGCAGAAAAATATGTTATTATAGTATGGTTTTATTATTAGAAAAATGATGAGTTCTTATTTTATACAGTGTCTATAATCTGGTAAGAAAAGCTGGAAAGACATTTTTGTTATTAGAAGCGGTTTGACATAACAGTCAGTAATCTCATTAACCATTTTGAATAAATTTATTTATAAATAATAAAGCGGAAACAACATTAATTGAATTATTTAAATCCTATGCGTATGACCTATTTCAGCTATAAAGACACAAATAACACTTTTTTCATTCGCGCGAGTGATCCTTTTAATCATTTTGTACTTGTAGATACCATTACACTTAATTAATGAGAAAAATGCAAAACTCTTCCCTACTATTACAGTACGTATAATATAAGTAGTTTCTTTTAAACAAATTTTAATTTAAGCATACTGAACTCGAAACAATGTTTGACTTTTTTATTCATGACGATCCTAGTTCCGTTTGCAAATTATTTTTTCACGTTCAGTACCTATACCTAAGTACATTTAATGGACTTAAAATAATAACCCATTTCTCGGAACACAAATAATAAAGCAAGTAGGTAGATACTATTTATTATAAAGCAAATATCATCAGTTTTGTAACGACGCTCCAGGAATAAATCTTTGACAATGTTGAAATGTTGAAAGCATGCAAAGTTAAAAAAAAAAAATTCAAAAAGGGGTTCCGCAATTGATATAGAGAGGACTACAATTACTTATGCAATAATTAATTCGAGCCTCAGCTGTCCTCTCACATTTAGTTATCCTCAAAATAAACTAATAATTATAAATTAAATTAGGTAAAGACATTTCTTGTGCTGAGAATAACATAATTACCTTTCCTAATTGAATATACCTATGAAAATTTTACTTTTTTTGAAATTATCTATCGTTTTAAAAATTTTCGAAATAAAAGTTACTTTTTTTTCGAATGGTTATACTTGTGGTCAAACGCCAGCAACCAGGTAAAGTTTCTTATTCTTAAAAAAAAAGGTTTTGCCTAGAGGTTATGACATTCATCAATTTACTTATTGACAGTTTTTGAGCTTGATTGGTAAGAACAATTGTCTATATTTAGGATAACCTTTTCAATTGGGTTTTCTCCAGAATGATAAAATTCTTCAATTCGTATGTTAAACCCATCGTCGAACTAAGATATTGGTATAATTTGAGGTAATAATTTTCTTACATGTTATTTTGAAAAATTGATATAGTAGCTAACAAAAACGGAGACGACTCCAAGATGGCGATTGCAGGGGCCTTTGGGTGCTCTATGGAGTTATTTTTGAGCGATATTCAATTTTCTTCGTCTGCTGGTAGGTACTGGGTCAAAAGACCGAAAAAGACCGAAAAGACCCGGTTTGAAGGTCCGCAGAACCTAAATTTGAAACTTCATGGTTTTCCTTTCAAAAATAAATTTCCTAAAGCATTATCAAAATATCTTTTGAACTAGTCGACCCCATCTGGATAAATTAAAAGCAAGGTGAAAGTCTATAATAACAACAAAGTACAAATTATATAAATTATTTTAAATATCATTATAATTCTAAAGGCTAGTTACCGCATATTGTAGGTATAATAATTATTATAAATAAACATTTTGTAATTAAATAATAGGTAGGTATGTTTTGTTCGCAGGCTATCAGGTTTCCACGTGTTGAAAGTTATTTAGTATTTGGGGCGACTATAAGGGCCGATATTTCAATGTCACCTTAAGGTACAGAATAACGTTATAAGTGATCCCTAATACAAGTTTCACCGTATATCAAAGTTCTCTTAATTCAAGGTGGATCTTGAGCCATCTGAATGAACTGATTTCAAGTTCACCTTAACGTTGAGGGTACCTTAGGTACCTAAGTCTTGATTATGAGGTAACATTGAAATACCGGCCCTCAATCAGCAACTTCTTCCAAAAATTTCCGAGACTAAGTATAATATATATGTTTTGAGAAACAACCTGAGATTGAACTCAGCGTTGAAATGATGTATACCCATAAAAAAAAACTTCGACAAGGCTCCCATATAACAAATTGTTTTCAATTACAAATTAATTAAGCTGGCTGCTATTTAGTTCAATTGAAATAATAAATTGGGTACTGAACTAAACGTATAAGCATGGCTTCTCTAAGGAGACGGTCGCAGAGAAAACAACTCACACATAAATGCATGTCAACTTTATTATAAGTTTATTTACCAATTAAATAATTATGTTATTATTTCAATTAAATACTTAGTATCGATAAACGGTATTTCTATGTAAATTGAGCATAGAAGGAGATATCATGAAAATTTTAAAATTATTCGGCAAAGTTTGGGTTCAACATTATTACAAAATAATTATTTAAAATTGTTATACAAATATTTTTGTGAGTACAACTCGCAATTATTGTTTGTCATTGTATGCCATTGCTTTATTATGAAATCTGAGAAAGGAAATAACGGCAGCGTTTTTTGATAATGTGAACTACAAACAATCCCAGTAACAAAGTGAGCCTTCTGTAGAACCCAATAAGCATAATTTTATCATTGCCACTCGAATAGAGAATTGTCACCTGCGTGGTTTTGATGGATGTATCTCCCTACATAATTTGACTTCCTGCCGCCGAAAAAATGCAAGCTTAGCTAAAGACCAATTGAGACCAAGGAAAGAAAAATCAGCAATAATAATGTGTTATACATGGCTTTCATTTCAATTTGCCACCCACGTTATCTGCGTAGAAAATCGCTGAAACACGTCAACAAATTTATTGAGGGCGAATTTTTTTTACGTACCTAAAACTTCCTCTCAATAAATTTGTTGACGTGTTTCGGCGATTTTCACAAATCTTTTTCTTTACGCAGATAATGTGGGTGGCAAGTTTTGAAATGAAAGCCTCGCATATTTTTCAATGTCATGGAACCTCATAGTATGATATAAATCGCTTTACTGATGGCAAAGTTTCTTTAATCGTTTCCAACTAGCAACAACGAATATTTGAAATCGAGATATTCAAATGCATTAAACTTAATATCAATGTTAAAAAAGACACCCAAGCCAAAAAAAAATTATTAGTTTGGATTAAGCAATGTGTCATACATATACCCTTCTATATACCCGGAGTGGGAATATATAATTATTATACGGTCACACACTCAAAACTCAAAAGTCAAAGAATAACTCGCCGGTTTTAAGTTCTTCAGATAAGTCCTTCGGATGGAGCGCCAAAAGCCTTCTAGTTTTCGAGTTAAAAAAAGTGACTTCCACCCAGATGATACCTCTACCATTTGAAAAAGCATGTTTTTTACATAGGAAATAGAAATTGACGACACTCTCCAATGGTCCAGATGAAAGATATAGGCAAAAACTGGATAAATAATGAATACAGTTTTTTTTTTTTACTTTGAACCCGTAAAATCAAGATAGAAACAAGTTTTTTTTTTAGTTCAATTCTTCATTCAATTTTCTTCCTTGGTATAGGATTATTTGCAGAAATTTAATAAATAATTTAACAAAAACAGCAATATTAAAAAAGAGGCAAAAAATCGCCAATATTTTTCTAGGCTCACCTTGCCATAACTTTCTTATGCAAGACACTATTCAACTTTTTCTTTAATCAAAAACTGCGCAATTTAATAAGCTTCATTTAGGCTGGAGCTACCCAATTCCTTAATTCTTAATATTTGTCCTTAATCTTAATTCTTAAAAAGTTCAATTTATTTAACATTGGTGTTTTTAAGGATTAAGAATTAAGAACAAAAATTAAGAATTAAGGAATTGGGTAACCCCGGCCTTAGTCTCGATTAATGTTGGGTCTTTTTTTTAAATGAACGTAGAAAAACGCGTGCAGCGGCAGCGTAGGTACTCGACGGCGACTATCGCTCTACCCCGCATCCCCGCGTCTTTCCAATGGCTAGACTATTAATAATTTTAGAATATTAATATTGAATATTCAATATTTCTGCAGTCTTTTTATTTTAATAGAAGGGATTCAGGGATTGTTATGATTTTTGTAGAAAATTGTGTGTGGTTTTGATTCATTACAAATCTTCACTGCAATCATAAAGAAGCTGAAACCAGAATTATTTTTCACATGTTATCGTCGAATATAAATGGAAAACTTGTAGTTGAATGTGATGATACTGATGTTTTGGTATTATTAATTCATTATTATTGTACCCACGAAACTTGCAATAATAATGGAATATTCACATTCGGTCACACAAATATCACCACTAATAAAAAACGATACCTTCCCACATACTAGGTATTTCAAAAAACATTGGCAAATTTGTATGCGAAGGCTTACCAAGTTTCCACAGCATTACTGGATGTGATACTATACAGCTCATTTTTTAAAATTGGGAACAAAATGGCCTGCAAGGGAATTATAAAAATTGTTCTACGCTTAATCTCCACGAATTTGCAATGATGCCACCTGAATAAGGAATAATGATTGCCAGAAAATTTGTAAATTTATAACTTTGTCATACAAAAATCATAACATCAGCGATTTAAATAAAATTAGGGTGAAACTCAATAATAATAGTAAGAAACAAGCCCAGGCATTGCCTCCGACAGAAGATACTTTCAATCTACATGTGCTAAGGTAAATTTATAGAAAAAAAAAACATAATCATCTCAATACCCATGCAATTATCAAACATTTATATGGGTCAATAGTCATGTTGGTGAAGTTGACAAAAAAGATCCATTTTTATTTGGAAGTCCAATGGATGAACAAAATTTTATGGTTCCAAAAATGATGAACCAAGCTCCAGTTCCGAACGATATAAGGGAAATTATTTCCCTATTTTGCAATGACAAAAGGGAGCGGGATTCTTGTAGTGTGAATTGCAAATACAAAATGAATTGCAATAATATAAATGCGACAATATTAATGTGAATTCGAGTGAAAATCGTACTGAACTGAAGACGATTTATTGATACATTTTTTTAATATACTTTTTTCAATAATAACAGGATATATCGGTCAAAAATTATATTGTATAACTCTT